TTGTTCTTTTAGCATACTGAAGTTGAAATGTTGTGTTTGTGATGTGAAGCGGAAGACTAAAGCATTAGTCGTGCGTCATGCCATTTCTTTAAGAAATCAGTGATTACTGTATTTGCCGTTGACATTTCTTACCCTCTTAACACTTGCGCAAAAATCCCACCTAGTCATGAATGTTATGCAAAATCTGGGCAGATTAGACGTCAATCGCCTACCATAAAGACCGTCAGATAGTTGCCATTTGAAAATCAGTCTTGGCTTCCAAGATTATGAGTAGTCCTTATCCGTTTGTTATGACAAATCCCCTCTAATTCTAATCTCTAACATCACAGTGTGTGCACGTGGTGGAAATCCAGAATCTTTCCCCTAGTTGCAAGTGGTACGGATGTACGTCAATGGTTCTGCAAAATCAATGACGAAGACGGAAACGGATCAAAGTTATTGCGCATTTTTGTACCCTTAAGTTTAGAGATACCGGAAATTGATCGGAAGTTATACCAACTTTTTTCATTATTTCGATTTCCGGTTTTACCGAAAACACGTTTAGGAGAAACTAATGATTTGAGAGACCTTAGCAATGACATCATTCTTTCATCAATCCCATTTTAAGGTTACCGTATCCATTTCCACCCGAATGACTTATTTCTCTCTAATCACCGTGGTCACTTGTTTGTCCATTTATTTCCAAATTCTAACTGGAAATTAGTTCACGGTTCAAAGCCTTAATTATAAGGGGTACTGGTCACGCTTGAAACCCCTGTTGACCAGTACATCAGGCTCTCGAAAAACGTTCCATAAAGATCACATAGAGTCTTGCGAATCACCGGGCTTTATCTGACCTGAATTGGTGTTTGTGCGGAACCAGAAGGCATTGTAGCCCAATTTGTAGGAGATAAAGGGTATTATGCCAAAAACAATTATGAGTCAGTCCGGGTCCCGGTGCCGGAAGGTATCTGATGCGAAATACAAAAACTTGCTTGTTTTGATTGGAATCTTCTGTGACGAAAATGCTGGAAGTACAAAAACATTGAACTATACGGGATCTTAAAGGACCAGGGAACCCAAAAATTTTTTGATTTTTTTGTGAAATGTTTTTGTGACTGTTTGAATTGTCTCTTATTGCCTCATACACTGGTGAAATGCTGCCTCTCAAAAATGCCAATGAACGAAACGGCATGCAGTTGAAGCCAAAATGGGAGAAACCGTGAATTTTTGGAAAAAAACCGGTAAAAAAGCGGAAAAAATAAAATGGCAGAGAAGCGCATATATTTTTATATATTTTTCGGCCATTGGCGCTAGGCCACGGCCACAACTTCAACTGCATGCCGTTTCGTTCATTGGCATTTTTGAGAGGCAGCATTTCACCAGTGTATGAGGCAATAAGAGACAATTCAAACAGTCACAAAAACATTTCACAAAAAAATCAAAAAATTTTTGGGTTCCCTGGTCCTTTAATATTTATTCTCGAAAACTGAAGTCTACCAATCGATCCGCAGGTTGTAATCGAATAAACTGCACTAGTCGTGCTAAAAATCAAGGCTGGGCAATAGACGCTTTGAATGCCTGACCGGGCCAGAATTTTTGAACTCCTCACAAAAATCTGATCGGAGCCAAGCCAAACTTTACAGGCTTCTCGGACGTGGATTGAAGAACAGTGCGTCCGATAGTGCCCCTGTATTTTTAAGGTACAACCAAACCGATAATAGTTATGAAAATTCTGTGAATGCAGTTCAACTTGCGATGCGAAAATCCTTACGAGCAACTCGTTTTCTGATGCTCCCACAAGGCCAATGACCTCCATTCTTGACTTCGGACTACTGTTTTCCCTAAGCCTATTTCTTCGGCTACCCGCGATCCCCAAAGTATCACAGAATTCAGAGGCTCCCACAAACAAATAATATTCAGTTCTCAGGCTTTACCTGTATTCTAGCCCAAAATCTGATAAATCTTCCTCAATTTGAGAAGGGTCTTATCTTCATTCGACGCCTGAAAAAGTAATTTTTCAAGGCCGGTGACTCAGCTTTTGTGCAACCACTCTAGAAAATGAGGTCCGGGGGGTTTTTCGCATCACAAATCAAACTGCATTCACGGAATTCTTAAAACTACTCTCGTTCCGGATGTACATACAAAATATAGAAGGGTCTTATCATGAGTCCAGTTTTTGAACTTATCTGATTACTAGATCTGGAAATATAGTGATCTAGGACCAGGGCTGGGCAACTGGCCGGCCCGGGCTTTTCGTTGGCCGACCATTCCCTGGACATTTGCACCACTTGCAATATTACGATCGGACCCAAACTTTGCAGGATTGTTGTACTTGAATTGAGGGAAATTGGGATCAAGTTTCAGCCCGATCGGATCGTCGGGTCCCGAGATATGTGGATCATTGGCCGATTATTTCCCAAAAGCCCGGGCTTACGGTCAATTTCGGCCAATGATCCACATACATATCTCGGGACCAGATGATCCGATCGGGCTGAAACTTGGTCCCAGTATGCTTCAACCCATGTCCAAGAAGCCTGCAAAATTTGGGTCCGATCGGAATATTGCAAGTGGTTCAAAGGTCCAGGGCAAGGACCGGCCAACGAAAAGCCCGTGTCGGCCAATTGCCCAGCCCTGTCTAGGACCTAAACGCCATGGTTCTTACTAAAAGCGCACGACCAGATAATTTGATCGGTGTGAAATTTGTACTTAATATATTGCAATCCAAGTCCCAGAAGCCTGCAGAATTAGGGTCCGATCGGATTATCGTGCGTGGTTCAAAGATCCATACCTCGGGAGGTCCCCGAAAAGCCCATGCCGACCAAATGCCCAGCCCTGCTTCCGGTTGTAAATATGCTTTCCTCAATCAGTTTAAAGTGCATTATCGTATCTTCATGTGTCAATCACCAATGCTATTATCATCTTGAAAACAACAGTATCTCTTTTGCTTTCGAAGCAGATTAGGTGCCACCAAATTATGAGATTGCTCCCATTCAAATGATTGGCCTGCAAGCTTAGAGTTGTGAATAGTATTAATCCAAATGTCGTGACAAATCCATCTAATCTCCTCCTTCACAGTGTACTTGTAAGCATCTAACATCGTGCCTAAACGTACAAGTTCGTACCAGCTACTCCGGATGTTATGCTCGTAACTAGTTTTGTAAAGGAAAAATGAATGAGTGAGGCCTGGATGGATCTTCCATTTACAAATGTCCTAACAAAAAATTGTTGTCGTACAATAGAGGAATGGACAGTTCCTACCAATCGACCGGTAAAGTTGCTAAAAGTGGGTGTCAGCGTTGCGATCTATCGCTTCGCCACTTTTCAAAAAATTTTCAGACGAAGTTGGAGCCTTCCGGAGAAGCTTGAAATTTTAATTTATCGGCCCTACCCGGTCTGTTGCAAATCTGATTTTACCGTGGCCCAAAAAAAATCGTGGAGACAGAGCAGTTGAGGACCGTAAAGACCAGATTGCAACGGACCGGACCCGGCAGCTTCCAACTTGGTCCAAAAATTTCCAAAAATCTGGAAGACATTATACCATCTTGTTAAGAAGAAATCTTGCAAGTCTGGTAAGGGCTGGTGTGATCCTGAAATTTGCATTAACTGAGTTTGGTCGTTTCGAGAACCGCAGTGCAGCGTCGAGTTCTATCGGTAACTGTCAAGCCGAGATTACGAAATCTTCATGGTTTGTTCATGTCAGCAATGACTGACTCATTCCTTGTCTTCGATCAACGAACCCACACCTACACAACCTTTCCTCCCAACCTTCAGTCTTCAAAGGGTTGTTTGTTTTGCACGAATGGCGCCTTTCTGCCCAGAGAGGCACGTGCTAGGACAATGGCCAGTAAATATCAAAACAAGCCTACTTCCAACTCAGTGGGCTTCATGTGAACTTTGTACCCCGATCAGAGGAAGTAAAAGTTGCTTTGCACCTGATCAGAGGAAGGAGAAGTCCGAAATCGTTCCGATCGATATTAGAAAGGTTCTCTCCGTCAGATTTGAATGAAAAGGCACTCACAGCACAGTAACTTCTGGAAACGTTTAAGACAAAACTCCCACAACAGAACGATGTTTGCGCTCCGAGCCGGCCGATTAAGGATTATTGATTGACAACTCGACCGATTCGGGCTTAATAACATGATGTCTGAAACAAAATTGTTCTCAAAAACGTAATTTTCTGTAATGCAGAGTATGTATATTACGTTTTCCGTGTGGGAACAGCTAATTACAATAAAAACAGGCAATGTTCCGAATAGAAAATCTAAATCGATTATTTTCGACAACGTTATCTTCTGGCAAACTGGTTTAAACCCAGATTTTAGTTATTTTCGAATATAACAGGTAAATGTTAAACTTCTTTATAATGCAAAATATTCTAATTAGACTTACAGGGGGGAGAGCGAAAATCTGTATAATTTCACTGTAATTAGAGAGTTTTGCATATTATTTAGACGTTGAAGGGATTTGATTCAATTACAGTTATGTTGGAGCGTCTGCAGTTGGATCTGACAGAGAAACAATAATATCGGCGCGGGCTCCACCAGAGATGAAGATCAATTGAGATCTCGAGATCTTCGATTCGCAGGACTGATTCAAAGATGGATACAGAAGCTTTGAAAAACTTTTTCAGGATTTTTTGATTAATTGGACCGATCATTCATTGTAAAGTTCATCCGGAGAGGCCAACCGGCAACGCTTTGTTCAGATCCGTTCACAGGAAGAAAGAAACATCGGAAGATCCTTGGAAGACCTGTTTTCCTGAACTTTTCCATTGTCAACGTGGATGTTGATCATTATTTTTTCCAGATCACATGATATTTGATCATCAACCCGTGCCAAACCAAAGCGGAGCTTACAGTGTTTTCACCGACGAATCGAAACACCGGAAGAGGTGGGGCCAGAATAGGGCTCCAGTGGGAGGAGTCTTCAGAAGCCGAAAGAGGTGGAGTTTCAAGTAGTATAAAACGGATGAATTTGCTCCAGATGTCCGCCTCCTTTACCTTCCCCCCAATCCCAACATGTCACGCTCTCTGCTCATCTTCTTCTTCACCATCGGATGCGTCTCCTCGCTCTCCTGCTACGTCGGAACCCCGCAACACCAGCGTTTGGTTAAGGGGTACAAACACTGTGTAACTGCATACACCGTCGGAAACCCATCGGCAACCTACTACTCCGGATCAAAGATCGGAGCATCGGAAACGGTGGGATCTGACGATGGAACCCTCTGCATCCCAACGGTAAAAATTCACAAAACTGAACGACTTTCACTAATGTATATTTTTTAGATTGGCGATGGTCTGATCTCCTTGAAGTGCAAGTGCTTCAAGCACAAGTGCAACAAAGCCCAGGGATTATATGAGATGGTCGGGAAAGGGGGCGTCAGAATCTACGACGAAGCGCTCTGAACTGGCACCACCGACGGTTTCCGCTGATCCCCTTGAGTTGCACCAATGTGTTTTCCTTTTTAAACTATTTACTCTCCCTCTTTTGACATCCACCAAAATATTAAGCTTTTTACAATATATCCCCCAATACTATATGTATATACTATTTGAAGTAAACCAATAAACTGATTAAAAAAAAAAAGTGTTTGAGTGTAAGTATCCTTCGAAAGGAACTTTAAAGTACTTCCATTTGGACGCGGTCCATCCTTTCTGGAACATGTCTCTGTTCCGGGACAACTGTCAAGAGTACTGTGTTCGTCACGGACATTCCAATATCTCTTTCCATCTGAGTCTCAGGAAGAACCTTATATGCCACATCGGAAAGTTGAAGGGGTCACATTGGTATTTCAGAAGGTAAGGGTATCACGGAAGTTCGACTCTTCAGTGCATTTCACTATGGGAGGCGGAGACAACGTTTCAGAGCGTGGCGCCGCCCCTCTTTGCTCTGATTGGCCGGTTTTGTGGCTCAGCCGTGCTACTCTGCCTCACTCCACTCTAAAAAAAAACCACAGTAGAACAAGAAAGAAAATAATCTTTCCCCCAGTTGCAAGTGGTACGGATGTGCGTCAATGGTACTGCAAAATCGATGACGAAGGCTGAAACGGATTAAAGTTCTTGCGCAGTTTTGTAACTCAAAGTGTTTGCGACACAGGAAATTGATAGGAAGTTATACCAACTTCTTTCATTTGAAATTACTTCACGGTTCAAAGTCTCAAATTTTTAAGGGGTACTGGTCACGCTTGAAACCCCTTTTGACCAGTACATCAGGCTCTCGAAAAACGTTCCACAAAGATCACATCATGTTTTCCGACTCACTGGGCCTTATCTGCCCTGAATTGGTGTTTGTGCGGAACCAGAAAGCATTGTAGCCCTATTTGTAGGAGATAAAGGGTATTATGCCAAAGACAATTATGAGTCAGTCCGGGTCCCGGTGCCGGAAGGTATCTGATGCCAGATACAAATGCTTGTTTGTTTTTATAGGAAGCGGAAGTGACAAAAATGCTGGAAATACAAAAACATTGAACTATACGGGATCTCAAGATTTCTTCACCAAACTTCTAGGGTTCTTGAAAAAAGTGGTGATCAACATCAGTCTCTTAAGTAATGAGAAAAGCATAATTTACAAAAGTGTTCACATCAATCAATGTGTTGTGTTTGTATTCTTATTTTTCATCCTTAGTGTTATAGTCTGTATCTTATTTGCATCAGAGACAGATTAGGTGACACTCAAATAATTAGATTGCTGCCATTTAAATGATTGGAGTCAAAGAAAAAGTTTTTATCCGGTTGTTATTACAAATGAATCCATTTAATCTCCCACGTCACAATGCTGTGGTAAGAATCGAACATCGTGCTGATACGTGCAATTTCGTACCAAGTACAACGAATGTGTGCTATTAGTTTTGTTTAAAAAAAGGAATTTTCACTGATGTTACAACAAATCATCAATACCGCTGGGCGCTGGGTTGGCGGTGGGATCTCGGAGGGATGGTGCTATTGAGAAGCGGCCAAATTATCAGAAAAGTGTGCTATATATATCTATGTTATATTCAGTAGTGATCTGAGGATTCAGATGGCACGGAAAAATTGAAAATAGTCAAAGTATGACGAAGATTTTAAAACCAACTCGCACAACGAGAAGGATCTAGATTCTTTACAATACTTCTCAGTGGTCGTATCCCGCACCTTAACGTCACCCGCTCCTTAGAGTATCTAACCATTCAGTTCATGTTTGACTGTTCTTACTAACGAGCTTTTTTTTTCATTTCCCAATACTGTCTGTTTTTACTAGAAAAGTACTTGGAACCTTCTTACTCCTCGTACGCTTTAATTTATCGTTGTTTTGTACGTGGCAACAGATTCGAATAATTAAAATTCAACTTTCACAAGAGCTAGAAGATGATATAGTTCATTTTTGTTTTCCTTCAAGATTATCCCATTTCAAAACGTTATACTTGAACAATTTTTGTCAAAAGTATATTAACTTGCGCAAAGGTTCAAATGTCGATTGTTTACAACCGTGCACATCTTCGCCTCTTCTTCACGTTCCTCCATATCCGCTTTGTTCATCATATTCGCTTCTTTACTCCTCTAAGAGTGACGAACCGTTCAATCGATTTATTACGTTTACTCCCGTTACTTCAATTTGTCTTTTCTCTTTTATTAAGTTTCAGTTTTTGCAGAAATGTCAGACCAATCCGTCTATTACACGGACCTCCCGAGAATTATCAGTCTGCATCCGTGCCTCTATGACCGCTCCCACAAAAGTTTTGGGAATAGAAGATTGAAAGAACAATTGTGGAATAGCATTGCGGTCTCGCTGAACCACCTTGCCGGCGGAGAATCGTTGGAAACTCGATGGAAGAGTGTCCGGGATCGTTATCAACGTTTCAAGAAGAGTGGAACGGCGCGAGGAACGTCAGGAATTTTCGATAATTTCAAATTCCTTGACCGATTCATAATGGAAAGAGGACCTTCGGCCGAAAGACGGGCAACCATGACGGTGAGTATAAGAACTTTTTTCAGAGAGATGTATCTTAGTAACCGGTAGAGATAGCAAAAACATGTCAACTAATAAGATGTACACCATTCTCCACTGAGCACTTTATTAGTTGACCACGTTTTGATATCTCTACACAAAGCTGAGATATATTGTCTTGATCAATTACGATTTTCGAGGTATTCTATTATCAAACATTTTTCAGATTGACCACAATTTCACGAAGGATCTTATAGGAAAAGTGAGGGCGAATCCGTGTCTTTATGAGATTAGCAAAGGCACCCAAAATGTGTTCGAGCGGAAAGCCGCATGGAACAGAATAAAAATGGAGTTGGATTTCGAAGAAGACGCTCAACAACTCTCTGTTATTTGGAAAAATCTTCGGGATAAGTATGTGAAGAAGAGATATAAGGTGAGCTAGTTTTAGACAGGAAGATTTGAAACATAAACATTTGTTTTAGGCCCAAAAATACCCTAGTGTGCGTCAAACTTGGGTGTATTTTGAACGAATGACATGGTTGGACATGTACCTCGGTAAGCCGAAGGAAACAAATAGTCGTACGCACGCACTTCAACCTGTCCAACCAGGATATTATGAAAGCATTGATGATTCTCAGAGTGAAAATGAAGTAATGTCCGAAGTGCACGGAAATTATCAAGTCGTCCGGCAAGAACAGCAGAATATAGAGACAAATGCTGCAGAACCGATGATGATACAGCATGTTGGACCAGAGCAGTACGCTGGAACACCGAACGGTTATGAAATGGTAGCCGATACGCAAAACATCCAGCCAGTTGTGTACTATAGGCAGGAGAACGGACAAGTGGAGACAGCCGGAGGCAACCATCTCCAATGTATTCAAATCAACGGCACACAGTACATGTTGGTGCCCATTGGAGATGATGAACATGCCGGAAACAACGACGAGAACGTCAATGTGCTCCAAGAGCAAACAGCACAGTCAGTTAATTCACTATCTTTTTTCAAATTAACCTATCCTTTTTCAGAATCTACTCGCCTTCCGAATCAATGGATTTCGAGCAAGAGGGGTACGAAAATGTGCTCGTGAACGTGAACGAAAATTGGAATGTGTGCCAAAAGAACGGGCAATATCATTCTAACACTAATTTTTAGTGGTTGAGCATTAATTCTTAAAAGGCAATGTTCCGGAGTCCACCAGCCCATATATCTACAATCTCCTTCAAAATGTCATTAAAGCTTATCAAACCATTTTCCGAGGCATTGTCTTTATTGATTCTACTCTAATTTTCTAGTTCCAAAATAAATACATGTGTTTTCAAATATCAATCCATTGACCGAGTGGCTTGTTCGGAATTTAAAACGGAATTTATTTATTGATATTACGGTATAATACTGTTAGTTCCTTTGATTTCCATCATTCATTCTGCCATAACTTGTGTGTGTGGAGAGAGTGTCAAGAGAACAATTCCAAGCGTTTCCTCGTTGCCTGCATCTTCTTGCAAAAAACTGAATCGACGCGTCGTCGTCATGAAAAAAAACCCATAAAAAGCAAGAGAACATGGGAAACGAAGAGGGCAAAAGCCAGCTCATCGAATACACTTACATATTTTATTGTCCCGCGGGAAGAGAATCGGCCGAACATTCATTCTTCTTTTTGCAAGCACGCATTCGTGTGCTATCCAGTAGAAATGTAGCTTTATTTTTTCTAATTTTCCTTCTCTTCCACTCAATATGGAGTTTTCCACTCAAAAAGGATTAAATAATTCTATGAAATATAGAAAAAAAGTAAGTTATTTCCAACCAAAAACATTTTGAAAACTTACGAAAGTTTTAGAAACAATGATCGACTAATGTGTACGCACTACCGGAAAGCTTCCGATTCGAACAATGACACATCACGTTTGTGGATAAAGTCAGTTCTACTAATCTACTATTTCTTTCTTCCTGAGACCAAATCGGAGAGCCGTACAATTCTGATAACAATGTTCGAGAAGTTCTACGAAACAAACAAGCGATGCATCAGCGAGGACACAAGATGGTTGCGAAAACGGGCGTTCGTTCGGCGGCGGTTAGTACGATTTACTATTAGTTTGACCTCTGTCTATTTTTCAGATAAACTACTGGTTCGAATGGCGGCGAAACAGCGATCGTCCGTACGTGAACTCATCTTTTCTGACAGCAAAGCAAAAACGAATTCATTAATCCGACAAGATCTGACTTTGATTTTCTGTTCATTCTGATAAGCTTGTATCATCACTTTCTGTTTTCTTGGTTCCTCTTAATAAACTTTCACAACATCCCGAATAATTATTCGCAATCAAACTAGTTAACCACCCATATTCTTTTGAAACAGCGTCGTTTAGACGTAATTTTACGCGCTCCAATCGATACTCTAATGCGCCTCGGGTTCATTCTCATTCAGCTTTTCGCTGCTTACCTCGTTTTACAGTGCTGTCCCGGACAGATTGCATTCCGTCATCTGAATGCGCCGTCGAAAATCCACTTGTACCAGATCCTGCTCGTCTATTAGTTGTTTATTGTCTGAGGTATACCCTCCTTTGATCCCGTATCTACACCAATGTGTCATAAAACATTGCAGGTGCATCCTTCCTGTCTCCTGTCAATGCCCTCTCCGAAAGTGTTCTGTCTGCATCTATCTTTCTGTGGTTTAAGTGTTTTCAGAAAGTACTTTATTGAATATTTGAAACAGATTCGGGAAATGTATGCTATGATAAAGGCAGCGAATGTGGGTATGTGGGTTAACCGAATGGAAATATTGAAGATGCCGGTAAACCGAAATGTTTTCAACAAGTATGTTTATGTGTGGACGTTTTGAGCAAACTTTAGAGGTTTCTAGTTGGTGTTGGAAACTGATCTTATGGAATACTATTGTTCAAGTCTCTCCAGCACTTCTTCTTTACACCCTAGATTCTTGCATCCTTTTCCAGTGTCAGTTAAGTTTATTGGAATCTTCTCTGTCACCATCTATCTAATCTGGAGTCTAAAAATAATGTCAATCGGTTGATTATTTTGCGAACTCTTCGAAAACCGGCAGTATCTTTAGACACATAACGGAGACCAAGTTTGCGGAGACTGTTCACATCTTCAGTGAAATTCCACGTCAATTTCTATTCAGATTACATAAGGCATTCCTTGACCATCAATTGTTTTCCTCCTACACCGTCCCTCTGTGCTTCCCACAGGCAATGTTCCGCAGGTATACTCTCTTCAGCAAATGTGTTGGGGGCCTCTCTCTGATCATGACCCACCCGGGGCGAGAGGGCCCCTTACGGTCACTAGCTCCGCCCTTTTCTCAAAAAAACAACGAGGTCGTTGTTGTCCCCATCCGGTTCAACCGACTCATTCGACTCATTCGACTCATTCGACTCATTCGACTCATTCGACTCATTCGACTCCAACATGTCGTACCACCACCAATACTCAATGCCTTCCGCTATGGACATGTCCCACGCCAACTGGGATCCGTCCTACTACCATCAATTCGGATATCCGAATCAGCCACGTAAGTTACAGTTCTTTCGGTTCACTTTTCATGAAATTCACTTTCAGAAAACCACTTCTATTGGCCGGGGATGCCCTTTCCAAATATAGTTGTAACTCCGGGCCACCAACCTCAAACAGGAGAAATTGTGGTCATTCTTATCAATCAAGAGATGTGGAAGAAGTACAGTGAAGCGGTGAATGAAATGATGGTGCTCACCACTGCACGAGAATTATTCCCGAAATTGTTATTCAAAGTGAAGGGACTCAAGCCGAGGACCCGTTACAGAATCACGATTCATCTAAAAAGAACGTCCAACTACTTCTTCAAATATGAGGAAGGCAAGTGGGTGGAATCGGAGAAGAAAGTGGACGGACCAAAATGCACATCGTACCACATTGTGGGAGAACAGAGTGGTCAAGAGTGGATGGAGGGGATCATCAATGCGGAGCACCTGAAAATCTACAACGTTGGAAATCCGAAGAAGATCGGAGGAAGAATCAATCCAATGGACGCGGAAGCACTTGCGAATGCAGCTGCAAAGGCTGAACAACTAAAGTCCAAACTGCAACATTGTGTAAGTTTTTAGAATTTTCAACAAACTGTATCCTATTGTTCTGTTTCAGATTGAGGTGAAGACACTGACACAATACAAGCCAGTTCTGCGCATCTGGGAAATGATCACGTACGACCATTTGGATTGTGTTCGTGAGTTTTCGACATCTGAGACCAAGTTTATCACATGCACTGGTTACAAGGTATGCTTTATACTTCCGAATCTTTAAGTTCAACAAGTTGTTTCCAGAATACACAAGTTCGTGACATGAAAGTTAACGACAACAAGTATGTTGTGGGAAAGGAAAAGGCGGAGGAGGGCGCCTCTTCATCCCATTCCGATGATCCCAATGCAACCACAGCACCCGCCAATCCAGAACCGTCTCAGCCAACTGAGCAAGTTCTGAATACATCAAATGCGGATGTTTCTCGGTCCGGCGCCTACAGTCCCAATAACAGCTCTGGATACGGATCCGGATATAACTCGATGTGTGATCAGTCCTCGATGTCCGTGCCGATGCAAGCGCCGGTTTTTGGAGGACAAGCATACAGTTATGGTCAGATGCCTTGCACGTCATCACATGGTCCGACTCCTTCTACGTCCTCCTTCAATCCAGTCCAATTCGCTTCTCCTTTTGGACCCACCACTTCAGCATCTTTCAATGTTCCCGCTAGACCCCCATACTTCTACGACCTTGCTCAATCAATGTCTCACTATAATTCTACTTTCTCTACCTCATCCTATTCTCATCCGCAATTCATTGCTCACAGTAATTCTACTGTATCTGCCTCGTCTCACGCTCGTGTTCAATCCACGTTTCACAATGGTCCCACTACTTCTTCTTCTTCTTTTGGAAATCCGACCGCTTCGACGTTTCCATTTGGAGGCTATCCGCATCCTAACGAAAACGGAGTCGCTCCTGGGTTTTTTGAGTAAAATGCGTACTCTAATTCCCCACGTTCTCGTCATTCTGAATGTACTAATTGTTCTTATTCTTTCCTAAACCGCCCATATATCAAGTTATTGTATGTATCACACATTTCATGCAATCAATTTTGGAATTTAATCAATACAATTTTAATGCTTCAAGATATGTTTTGATTTTTGTGCGCAGCAATGGCAACTAGCCAGTAGCAAAGGACTTCGAGTAGCGACGACGTTGGTTTGAGTCCCTGCATGCTCCAGTTTCGCTTGATATACAGAAAATCATACTTTGATCATTTTTTCTTTTTCAGTGGTATCACCTCAGATGACTTCTGAATCTTTCTGGTTTATTTTTGGATGAACAGAGCACATTTTTCTGATCATTTTTGCTCTTGGAAGCTTCTCGATAGCTTCATCCGTTCTTGAGATCACGCCGCCGCGCCAAGCGGCGGCCGGCGCCACTATATATACGCCCAATGGGCGATTGAGCCTCGTGGCCAGGGTGGTGTAGGTGGTTAAGCTTGTGCTTAGCAATCCGAAGACCGCAGGTTCGAGCCCCGCCGAGTGCAAAGAAATTTGCCTCGGTTCGACACTAATCGTGACGACTTTCAGACGTGACTGAAGGACGTGGCGACTCCGGCAGTGCACATTGTGGGTAAAAAAAAGACGGCTTTCGGAAGACTGGGAGCAGGCAAATCATGGATGAAAGGCTGAAAATATAAGTAAGTCTGGACTAATGAATGCTCGATCCTGTAGTCTTCACACCGTAATACCTGAGTCACCCCTTTTTGCAAGTGTTGCGTGTATGTAGTGATGAAACCTATCTAATTGTTTGTGAATTTCACATCATCACATAACACATACACGCAACACTTGCAAAAAGGGGTGACTCAGGTATTACGGTGTGAAGACCACAGGATCGAGCATTCATTAGTCCAGACTTACTTATATTTTCAGCCTTTCATCCATGATTTGCCTGCTCCCGGTCGACCGATTCATGAATTTATTTACTCTTTTCGTGCACTGCGGGAGGCGCCACGTCCTTCAGTCACGTCTGAAAGTTGTCACGATTAGTGCCGAACCGAGGCAAATCTCTTTGCACTCGGCGGGGCTCGAACCTGCGGTCTTCGGATTTCTAAGCACAAGCTTAACCACCTACACCACCCTGGCCACGAGGCTCAATCGCCCATTGGGCGTATATATAGTGGCGCCGGGCGCCGCTTGGCGCCGCGGTGTGATCTCAAGAACGGATGAAGCTATCGAGAAGCAGGGGTGGCCCTATACTTATGCAGTTGCAACATTTTCAGATATTTCAGCACTATTCCCCATCTATCCTATACACTGCTCTCAAAATTGTTTCCCGGGGGTTATTTGTGATGTTGATTTCGATTTTTAAGGTCCTGTCTTTGTATTTTGTTCGGGAATGACAATATATTCAATTTTAGGAGTGGCCCTATACTTATGAAACGGACTGTATATCTATCTTTTACTTTAACGTATTCCTTTCGGGAGCAAAGTCCAATAAAGACTGTAATATGCAGCTACTGAAGCTCTAAGAATGACATCCATAGGGTACTTCAAAAGAATATAAATCCTACCCAAAAAGAATAGAAAATGCACATTTCTTGGCACTGGGAAACATTGGCGAATCAAGAAAGTAACTTCAGTACATAGTGTTCCGTTTATAGGCACTTTTGATAGTTGGGATTTGGACAGCGTGTGTGCCACGTCACAACACCATTTTTCCATTTTCCTTATTTGTACTACGGTAAACCACGTCACCATATTATCGAAAAAATCGCCCAAAAATCGTGTTTCCCCTCCATTCGAACCAGTAGTTTATCTGAAAAATAGACAGAGGTCAAGCTAATAGTAAATCGTACTAACCGCCGCCGAACGAACGCCCGTTTTTGCAACCATTCTTTGTCCTCGCTGATGCATCGCTTGTTTGTTTCGTAGAACTTCTCGAACATTGTTATCAGAATTGTACGGCTCTCCGATTTGGTCTCAGGAAGAAAGAAATAGTAGATTAGTAGACCTGACTTTATCCACAAACGAAAAACAATATCATACAACAACAACGAGAGCTTATATGTATACTACAGTTTACGACCGAGCGGGCCGATAAAAGCTGCAATAATATTCTACTACCGATCTCCTTCGTTCCTGGTGTTTGCTCTACCGTCTTTTTCTGATCTTCTGATATCGATGCTTCCGTCGACACTGCCGAAGCAACAACCAAAACGAAAATGCTGCTTGACCGATAAAAAATTGAAGTCCGATGACGACGATGATAACCAACATCCCGATCGTCGTCCACATTCCAATCCCACTAACCAACGAACTCCACGTCTCCTTGATCGATGCTCCCACCAACTCCAACAAACTTCCATTGCTCACATATTCAGAGTAGGCGGCGAACTTGTCTCGAAGATGACTTGCATCGAACGTCGCCTCCTCCTTCCAGGTTCCTTGCACCACGAACTTATTGACCTTCTTCCCGCAATTAATCTCACACGTTTCTTCGATCTTTCCACCATCAGCGTTGAACTCGAGTTCCGTCTTCTTCCCATTTTTTCCACATTCCATGAAATGAACACCAAGAGTGGGGCATTTGACTGTTGCTTCAATTCGATGATTGAAGCTGCCAATGCAGTTTCCCAGCAGCTTGGCTCCTTTTCCACACGCGAAACATCCTTCAATCCTTACATCTTCCTTAGCCATCCTTTGAACGGTTTGATTTTGGAATTTGACTTGAATCGCAACCAAAGCCGAAGTAGTGATCTTCGTCGCGATCTTCTCATCCTCTCACAAAACTTCCACTCCAGTTTATTTAACAGGAAGCTTGGTCTTTTCCATTACTTCTTTCAGTTGTAGTCGGTGGCAATGGCACGAAAGAGTCGTTCCTTGAACGAGGCAGTCACATAGCCGTTCATCAAAGATGCACCGGAAGTTTTCAGCATCTTTCAATTCCGCGCATTGGAACTCTCTGATAAGTCCTCTTGTCGGCGCTCCAGCCTGAGCAACAGAAGTGTACGTGAATCCGATCTCCGGAGTGCCTTGTCCTGGCGCATTTTGTTCCTGATGTGGAGTCCCTATTGGATTCACTGGTTGCTCTGGTGTTGGCGTTGCAGTTGATCTCTGAACCATTGTTGTTCCTGTAGACCCATCTTTGGCAAGGTTTGCTGCAGCGGTCCCCGCATTGGACTGCTCTTCTGATATCGACGCTTCCGTCGACAATTGTGATGTGCCATGGTTCGAATCGGAAGCTTCGGAATCGGAAGAATCGGTAGTGCGTAGACATTAGTCGATCATTGTTTCTAAAACATTTGTAAGTTTTTAAAGTGTTTTTGGTTGGAAAAAACTTACTTTTTTTCTATATTTCATAAAATTATTTGATCCTTATTGAGTGGAAAAATCCATATTGAGTGGAAGAGAAGGAAAATTAGAAAAAATAAAGCTACATTTCTACTGGATAGCACACGAATGCGTGCTTGCAAAAAGAAGAATGAATGATCGGCCGATTCTCTTCCTGCGGGACAATAAAATATGTAAGTGTATTCGATGAGCTGGCTTTTGCCCTCTTCGTTTCCCGTGTTCTCTTGCTTTTTATGGGTTTTTTTTCATGACGACGACGCGTCGATTCAGTTTTTTGCAAGAAGATGCAGGCAACGAGGAAACGTTTGGGATTGTTCTCTTGAAACTCTCTCCACACACAAGTTATGGCAGAATGAATGATGAAATCAAAGGAACTAACAGAATTATATCGTAATATCAATAAATAAATTCCGTTTTAAATTCCGAACAAGCCACTCGGTCAATGGATTGATAGTTGAAAAAGATGTGGAGATTGTAACACCCGCTGGATAGTTTGTGATAGTGCTTTTCGAGGGAATCAAGAGAGAATATTACACATGTATTTATTTTGGAACTAGAAAATTAGAGTAGAATCAATAAAGACGATGCCTCGGAAAATGGTTTGATAAGCTTTAATGACATTTTGAAGGAGATTGTAGATATATGGGCTGGAACATTCGGAACATTGCCTTTTAAGAATTAATGCTCAACCACTAAAAATTAGTGTTAGAATGATATTGTCCGTTCTTTTGGCACACATTCCAATTTTCGTTCACGTTCACGAGCACATTTTCGTACCCCTCTTGCTCGAAATCCATTGATTCGGAACGCGAGTAGATTCTGAAAAAGGCCAGGTTAATTTGAAAAAAGGTTGTGAATTAACTGACTGTGCTGTTTGCTCTTGGAGCACATTGACATTCTCGTCATTGTTTCCGGCATGTTCATCATCTCCAATCGGCACCAACATGTACTGTGTGCCGTTGATTTGAATACATTGGAGATGGTTGCCTCCGGCTGTCTCCACTTGTCCGTTCTCCTGCTCATAGTACACAAGTGGCTGGATGTTTCGCGTATCGGCTACCATTTCATAACCGTTCGGTGTTCCAGCGTACTGCTCTGGTCCAACATGCTGTATCATCATCGGTTCTGCAGCATTTGTCTCCATATTCTGCTGTTCTTCCCGGACAACTTGATAATTTCCGTGCACGTCGGACATTACTTCATTTTCACTCTGAGAATCATCAATGCTTTCATAATATCCCGGTTGGACAGGTTGAAGTGCGTGCGTACGACTATTTGTTTCCTTCGGCTTATCGAGGTACATGTCCAACCATGTCATTCGTTCAAAATACACCCAAGTTCGACGCACACTTGGGTATTTTTGGGCCTAAAACAAATGTTTATGTTTCAAATCTTCCTGTCTAAAACTAGCTCACCTTATATCTCTTCTTAACATATTTATCCCGAAGATTTTTCCAAAGAACAGAGAGTTGTTGAGCGTCTTCTTCGAAGTCCAACTCCATTTTTATTCTGATCCATGCGGCTTTCCGCTCGAACACATTTTGAGTGCCTTTGCTAATCTCATAAAGACACGGATTCGCCCGCACTTTTCCTATCAGATCCTTCGTGAAATTGTGGTCAATCTGAAAAAAGTTTGATAATAGAATACCTCGAAAATAGTATTTGATCAAGACAATATATCTCAGCTTTGTGTAGAGATATCAAAACGTGGTCAACTAATAAAGTGCTCAGTGGAGAATGGTGTACATCTTATAAGTTGACATGTTTTTGCTATCTCTACCGGGAACTAAGATGCGCCTCTCTGAAAAAGGTTCTTATACTCACCGTCATGGTTACCCGTCTTTCGGCCGAAGGTCCTCTTTCCATTATGAATCGGTCAAGGAATTTAAAATTATCGAAAATTCCTGACGTTCCTCGGGCCGTTCCACTCTTCTTGAATCGTTGATAACGATCCCGGACACTCTTCCATCGAGTTTCCAACGATTCTCCGCCGGCAAGGTGGTTCAGCGAGACCGCAATGCTATTCCACAACTGCTCTTTCAATTTTCTATTCCCAAAACTTTTGTGAGAGCGGTCATAGAGGCACGGATGCAGACTGACAATTCTCGGGAGGTCCGTGTAATAGACGGATTGGTCTGACATTTCTGCAAAAACTGAAACTTAATAAAAGAGAAGAGACAAAATGAAGTAACGGGAGTAAGCTTAATAAATCGATTGAACGGTTCGTCACTCTTAGAGGAGTAAAGAAGCAAATATGATGAAAGAAGCAAATATGATGAAAGAAGCGAATATGATGAAAGAAGCGGATATGGAGGAACGTGAAGAAGAGGCGAAGATGTGCACGGTTGTAAACAATAGACATTAGAACCTTTGCGCAAGTTAATATACTTTTGACAAAAAGTGTTCAAGTATAACGTTTTGAAATGGAATAATCTTGAAGGAAAACAAAAATGGACAATATCATCTTCTAGCTCTGGTGAAAATTTATCTTTAATTATTCTAATCTGTTGCCACGTACAAAATAACGATAAATTAAAGCGTGCCAAGTGTGTGTAAGCATTACGAGAACGTGGGGAATTAGAGTACGTATTTTACTGAAGAAAAACCAGGAGCGACTCCGTTTTCGTTAGGATGCGGTTAGCCTCCAAATGGAAACGTCGAAGCAGTCGGATTTCCAAAAGAAGAAGAAGAAGTAGTGGGACCATTGTGAAACGTGGATTGAACACGAGCGTGAGAAGAGGCAGATACAGTTGAATTACTGTGAGCAATGAATTGCGGATGAGAATAGGATGAGGTAGAGGGAGCAGAACCATAGTGAGACATTGATTGAGCAGGGTCGTAGAAGTATGGGAGTCTAGCGGGAACATTGAAAGATGCTGAAGTGGTGGGTCCAAAAGGAGAAGCGAATTGGACTGGATTGAAGGAGGACGTAGATGGAGTCGGACCATGTGATGACGTGGAAGGCATCTGACCATAACTGTATGCTTGTCCTCCAAAAACCGGTGCTTGCATCGGCACGGACATCGAGGACTGATCACACATCGAGTTATATCCGGATCCGTATCCAGAGCTGTTATTGGGACTGTAGGCGCCGGACCGAGAAACATCCGCACTTGATGTATTCAGAACTTGCTCAGTTGCTTGAGACGGTTCTGGATTGGCGGGTGCTGTGGTCGCATTGGGATCATCGGAATTTGATGAAGAGGCGCCCTCCTCCGCCTTTTCCTTTCCCACAACATACTTGTTGTCATTGACTTTCATGTCACGAACTTGTGTATTCTGAAAACAACTTGTTGAACTTAAAGATTCGGAAGTATAAAGCATACCTTGTAGCCAGTGCATGTGATAAACTTGGTCTCAGATGTCGAAAACTCACGAACGCAATTCAAATGGTCGTACGTGATCATTTCCCAGATGCGCAGAACTGGCTTGTATTGTGTCAGTGTCTTCACCTCAATCTGAAACAGAACAATAGGATACAGTTTGTTGAAAATTCTAAAAACTTACACAATGTTGCAGTTTGGACTTTAGTTGTTCAGCCTTTGCAGCTGCATTCGCAAGTGCTTCCGCGTCCATTGGATTGATTCTTCCTCCGATCTTCCTCGGATTTCCAACGTTGTAGATTTTCAGGTGCTCCGCATTGATGATCCCCTCCATCCACTCTTGACCACTCTGTTCTCCCACAATGTGGTACGATGTGCATTTTGGTCCGTCCACTTTCTTCTCCGATTCCACCCACTTGCCGTCCTCATATTTGAAGAAGTAGTTGGACGTTCTTTTTAGATGAATCGTGATTCTGTAACGGGTCCTCGGCTTGAGTCCCTTCACTTTGAATAACAATTTCGGGAATAATTCTCGTGCAGTGGTGAGCACCATCATTTCATTCACCGCTTCACTGTACTTCTTCCACATCTCTTGATTGATAAGAATGACCACAATTTCTCCTGTTTGAGGTTGGTGGCCCGGAGTTACAACTATATTTGGAAAGGGCATCCCCGGCCAATAGAAATGGTTTTCTGAAAGTGAATTTCATGAAAAGTGAACCGAAAGAACTGTAACTTACGTGGCTGATTCGGATATCCGAATTGATGGTAGTAGGACGGATCCCAGTTGGCGTGGGACATGTCCATAGCGGAAGGCATTGAGTATTGGTAGTACGACATGTTGGAGTCGAATGAGTCGAATGAGTCGATTGAACCGGATGGGGACAACAACGATCTCGTTGTTTTTTTTTTGAGAAAAGGGCGGAGCTAGTGACCGTAAGGGGCCCTCTCGCCCCGGGTGGGTCATGATCAGAGAGAGGCCCCCAACACATTTGCTGAAGAGAGTATACCTGCGGAACATTGCCTGTGGGAAGCACAGAGGGACGGTGTAGGAGGAAAACAATTGATGGTCAAGGAATGCCTTATGTAATCCGAATAAAAATTGACGTAGAATCCCACTGAAGATGTGAAAAGTCTCCGCAAACTTGGTCTCCGTTATGTGTCCTTTCTGCTCGTGCTGACACGAAAAGATACTGCCGGTTTTCGAAGAGTTCGCAAAACAATCAACCGATTGACATTATTTTTAGACTCCAGATTAGATAGATGGTGACAGAGAAGATTCCAATAAACTTAACTGACACTGGAAAAGGATGCAAGAATCTAGTGTGTAAAGTAGAAGTGCTGGAGAGACTTGAACAATAGTATTCCATAAGATCAGTTTGCAACCCCAACTAGAAACCTCTAAAGTTTGCTCAAAACGTCTACACATAAACATACTTGTTGAGTACATTTTGGTTTACCGGCATCTTCAATATTTCCATTCGGGTAACCCACATACCCACATTCGCTGCCTTTATCATAGCATACATTTCCCGAATCTGTTTCAAATATTCAATAAAGTATTTTCTGAAAACACTCAAACCACAGGAAAATAAATGCAGAGAGCACACTTTCGGAGAGGGCCTTGACAGGAGACAGGAAGGATGCACCTGCAATGTTTTATGACACATTGGTGTAGATACAGGATCAAAGGAGGGTATACCGCAGACAATAAACAACTAATCCTTCCTGATATCTCTAGAAAAAGAGGTGAATGTTGTTTTTTTAGTTAAAGCTCACTGTTTTGGATTTTATAGAGGTTAATTGTATGGATCAGTTGGAGAATTTAAGAACTTCGGCCGATCCAAAACTCCGTAAACAAGCGCGTTTGTGAGAAGAAACAATCAGACGAGCAGGATCTGACACAAGTGGATTTTCGACGGCGCATTCAGATGAATACAATCTACATATAGGAGTCCTGCCAAGGCAAACCTAGGCAAACTCTTCTGCACTCGGCGGGGCTTGAACCTGAGGTCTGTGGATTGCTAAGCACGTGTTTAATCATCTACACCCTGGCCTTTTTACATCTCAACTCGACGGTTGACAGAATCAATACACGTCTTAGCCGGGTTTTCAGGGACTCAGGTTCCTTATTGTAGTTCAAAAGTATTCCGATGACGTGGTTTATTGTACATAGACAAAATAATACAAATATAGGGAATAAGCAGGGCTCGTCAATTGGGTTTTCTTGTCAGTTCCGGCCTTTGAGTCATTTTCAAGTTCCAGGCCGACCGGATTATTAAATTTGGGGATATGGTGTTTTAGAAAGTAAAAACTCTAGTGTTTGCAAAAATTCCGCCCGGCTTCTCGGCTCTAAATGATAATCCTTTTTGTCTGAAACTTTCAAGACGTGATAGAATATGGGGAAAGGGAGTGAAACCGAATTGTGAAACACGGATAAAACAGGGTTCCTCGCATGGGGCCGGTTAAAAGGATTAAAAATTTGGGATAATAGAAACACAAAATAAAGAACGAGTCAAAAGCGGGAACATGAGGAAACGTGTTGAAATTTTGGAGAAGATGAGTACGTCGTGGGGCTGAAGGGGCTGCTTAGGTAACGAATGCTTCGGCAGGAACTTGGCTTCTGATCTCCGTGAACCTTTGACAGGACAGCTGAAACCCGACAAATAATCATTATAGATCTACGCAGCACTCGCTTCGTAGTTCCATTCGAAGTCGGAGAGACATTTTGTCGCGTACTGAACGTTCATGTTGGTGAACTCGCGGAAAGCCTTCACCATTTGCTCACGAACTTCGGCTGGCGGCGCCCCGTCGAATCCAAGTCTGTCCATCCCAATCTGAACTGCTTGGACGGCATCGACCAGTTCCGTTTCAGATCCGTGTGTGATAGCCTGATGGAGCAGCTTCTTGTAACTAATGATTCGTTCTGACGAAGCGGAGGAGATGAACAACTGGTCGGAAAGCACGGTGACTGCTCTGAAAATGCGATAATTGCTTAAATGTGGTTGATGTGGAAGAACAAAGTACCCTTCAGCACGTGGCGTAACGATGAAAGTTCGTGTGAAACAGCTAGATTGTTGGACAACACTTTCGTCGAGCTCGCCGTCTTGGAAGAGTCCTTGGACTGTGAATCCAAGAATCTCGCTGGTGAAGAGAAAGACGTCGACGAGGAGCGTGTCCATGAAATGCTTCGAAGTTGGCAGTTTCGACAACGCGACCGCGATTTCCCTGGATCCACGAGCAACGCGGGCTTCACTACTTCTAGAAGAAAACTTGTGAGTGAGCAGATTGTGCGACATTTGCAAGTATTGATAGTAGATTTTACTGAAAAATAAATACATAAAACTGATGTACAACCTTGGCTAAACTCACTCGCTGTGATATCTTTGATGCTTCAATCCTACCAGGTTGCTGATGGTCAAAGTGAACTGGGACTGAAAAACGTTCGTTCTCAGATTTAAGCTGAATATCACAGATATTTTTCACAGAAACTCACCGCGTCCGTATCGTACAAGTCGCGCAGACTTCTGCGGGTTTTCTGTCCATGCGGACCATCGTATATTTCGAAGTAGCCGGCCACGAACTTGTCGATAAGGAGCCGGATTTCGTCGTTCGGGTAGTGTCCGGCCTAAAATTTCTACGTTTCCTCCGACGATCAAAAAATGAACTAACTTTAAATGGAATCAGATTTTTATTTTTAGTGTCTGGTTCAGTGACAAGCGGCTGCACTTCAACTCCGTCCTGACAGGAAATTCATTTTAAACACTTGATAAGCAATCTGAAAATAGTGCCAAAACCAACTCACCAGCAAGTTGCATCTAGGAAAGGTCTTGTGTACAAAACTGAAAGACATACATTATTTGAGGACAAAGAGAAAGATAACAAAACTAGTTTGGGAAGACGAGAACACCTCAAGGTGTTGAAAATTATCAAAATTTGGTCACCTAAGGTACGCATCCTTCTGGGTGAACGTCTCGCAAATGGCATTTCCTTCGAGAAACAGTCGCTCGACTGGGAGACCGGACAACTTATCGATTTCACGTTCGAAAGAAATCTGGAAAGAAATCGTTCGGAAACAGAGACGGGTCAAGGAAATTAACCAGATTGTTACTTAGATCCAATTCTTTCACAAACTTTGCGATAGGGACTAATGCGGCTGAGAAATCCAAGTGACGGAGTCTATTGTTCGCCAAAGAAAGTGCGACTGCGTTTCCGTACTTGTCGTCAATGCGATCGAGGACAGCAAGCATCACGTTTCCTTTCGTAATCTGCATGACCATGTTCCTTGAAGTGAACTCGTTGTCATCGTGGAAGTTGGACAGGTCCAGAACGCGGGACTCTTCATCGAAGCGCTTGTCGACAACTTTCTGCAATCAAAATAATATTTTGAGTAATCTGAACTTCTGCTTCCTTACGTTTATAATATCAACTTCACGCCGTTTCAATCGCATCCAAGGAGCCGGAATTGAATGGACCAAGAATATGACTTTGTGTCCGCTCTCCTGGTGAACAATGCGTCGGCTGTTTGCTTTGATCGCTGCGGCACTGTCCTCGTCACGAACGTAGAATTCAATGTCATTACACCTGGTCACACTCCACAGAAGCGGTTTGAAATTCTCGATTCTCTGATTAAGCTGCTCAGTGAGCCATTTCTTGTCGAAAATTGTTGCGCATGCGATAACAGAAATTTTGTGCGCGATCTCCGCATCAGCAACTGCCGTTCTAGCGACAGACGCGTGACGAGAAGGGTTCACGATGACACAGCGAGAGCACGACGACGGAACGCCGGAACGGGCTGAAAATTTTTAGCATAATTACTGGAAATTTTTAAATGAATTCTAACCTGGGACCGAAGGCTCGTCATCGAAACCGTCGTATCTGCTTTGAATATCGGGATCAAGTCGAGCAAAGCGGCTTTTTTTACGGGGCAGTTGCTTGGCATCTATTTTGTGATGACGCCCTATAAATTTTTTTCCGCCGAACGATTTTCGATTCATTTTTGGACCGAAAGAAGAAGCGTTCAATTGAACTGAAAAAAGTGGAAAATTAAGAAGATGGAAGAGAGAGCAAGAGAGAAAAAATACAAAGCGGAGCAGTGCGGCTACATATGAAAAAGGACACGGCACATTTTGAAGCCAGGTATTGAAATGTCGTATTCCGCAACTTGCTTCCGCCTCTGCAAACAAATTCACGCGCAATAGCATAATACACCATCACGCAAAGTTGCGACTTTTAGATTAAAAACGTTTCAAACGGCGGAAACTACGAGAAAATTCTAATTGATAAACATGAATGTTTAAAAAGAAAAGCGTAGTAACTATTCACCATTGTGATAAGAAAGACAGAAATGCTGGAAGAATTGCCCTCTAAATTTAATTCTGTTAGGTAACCGTCACACCCTTTCCATCGACAGCATCGGCCGACTCTTCCTGCTTCTCCTTATTTTCTCAATTTAAAATTTCCTTTTGGTCGAATCGATATTGTGAGTGGAAGAAATGCTCTCTAAATTTAATTCTGTTAGGTAACCGTCACACCCTTTCCATCGACAGCATCGGCCGACTCTTCCTGCTTCTCCTTATTTTCTCAATTTAAAAATTTCCTTTTTGGTCGAATCGATATTGTGAGTGGAAGAAATGCTCTCTAAATTTAATTCTGTTAGGTAACCGTCACACCCTTTCCATCGACAGCATCGGCCGACTCTTCCTGCTTCTCCTTATTTTCTCAATTTAAAAATTTCCTTTTGGTCGAATCGATATTGTGAGTGGAAGAAATGCTCTCTAAATTTAATTCTGTTAGGTAACCGTCACACCCTTTCCATCGACAGCATCGGCCGACTCTTCCTGCTTCTCCTTATTTTCTCAATTTAAAAATTTCCTTTTTGGTCGAATCGATATTGTGAGTGGAAGAAATGCTCTCTAAATTTAATTCTGTTAGGTAACCGTCACACCCTTTCCATCGACAGCATCGGCCGACTCTTCCTGCTTCTCCTTATTTTCTCAATTTAAAAATTTCCTTTTTGGTCGAATCGATATTGTGAGTGGAAGAAATGCTCTCTAAATTTAATTCTGTTAGGTAACCGTCACACCCTTTCCATCGACAGCATCGGCCGACTCTTCCTGCTTCTCCTTATTTTCTCAATTTAAAATTTCCTTTTGGTCGAATCGATATTGTGAGTGGAAGAAATGCTCTCTAAATTTAATTCTGTTAGGTAACCGTCACACCCTTTCCATCGACAGCATCGGCCGACTCTTCCTGCTTCTCCTTATTTTTCTCAATTTAAAAATTTCCTTTTGGTCGAATCGATATTGTGAGTGGAAGAAATGCTCTCTAAATTTAATTCTGTTAGGTAACCGTCACACCCTTTCCATCGACAGCATCGGCCGACTCTTCCTGCTTCTCCTTATTTTCTCAATTTAAAAATTTCCTTTTGGTCGAATCGATATTGTGAGTGGAAGAAATGCTCTCTAAATTTAATTCTGTTATGTAACCGTCACACCCTTTCCATCGACAGCATCGGCCGACTCTTCCTGCTTCTCCTTATTTTCTCAATTTAAAAATTTCCTTTTGGTCGAATCGATATTGTGAGTGGAAGAAATGCTCTCTAAATTTAATTCTGTTAGGTAACCGTCACACCCTTTCCATCGACAGCATCGGCCGACTCTTCCTGCTTCTCCTTATTTTCTCAATTTAAAAATTTCCTTTTGGTCGAATCGATATTGTGAGTGGAAGAAATGCTCTCTAAATTTAATTCTGTTAGGTAACCGTCACACCCTTTCCATCGACAGCATCGGCCGACTCTTCCTGCTTCTCCTTATTTTCTCAATTTAAAAATTTCCTTTTTGGTCGAATCGATATTGTGAGTGGAAGAAATGCTCTCTAAATTTAATTCTGTTAGGTAACCGTCACACCCTTTCCATCGACAGCATCGGCCGACTCTTCCTGCTTCTCCTTATTTTTCTCAATTTAAAATTTCCTTTTTGGTCGAATCGATATTGTGAGTGGAAGAAATGCTCTCTAAATTTAATTCTGTTAGGTAACCGTCACACCCTTTCCATCGACAGCATCGGCCGACTCTTCCTGCTTCTCCTTATTTTTCTCAATTTAAAAATTTCCTTTTTGGTCGAATCGATATTGTGAGTGGAAGAAATGCTCTCTAAATTTAATTCTGTTAGGTAACCGTCACACCCTTTCCATCGACAGCATCGGCCGACTCTTCCTGCTTCTCCTTATTTTTCTCAATTTAAAAATTTCCTTTTGGTCGAATCGATATTGTGAGTGGAAGAAATGCTCTCTAAATTTAATTCTGTTAGGTAACCGTCACACCCTTTCCATCGACAGCATCGGCCGACTCTTCCTGCTTCTCCTTATTTTCTCAATTTAAAAATTTCCTTTTGGTCGAATCGATATTGTGAGTGGAAGAAATGCTCTCTAAATTTAATTCTGTTAGGTAACCGTCACACCCTTTCCATCGACAGCATCGGCCGACTCTTCCTGCTTCTCCTTATTTTCTCAATTTAAAAATTTCCTTTTGGTCGAATCGATATTGTGAGTGGAAGAAATGCTCTCTAAATTTAATTCTGTTAGGTAACCGTCACACCCTTTCCATCGACAGCATCGGCCGACTCTTCCTGCTTCTCCTTATTTTCTCAATTTAAAAATTTCCTTTTGGTCGAATCGATATTGTGAGTGGAAGAAATGCTCTCTAAATTTAATTCTGTTAGGTAACCGTCACACCCTTTCCATCGACAGCATCGGCCGACTCTTCCTGCTTCTCCTTATTTTCTCAATTTAAAATTTCCTTTTGGTCGAATCGATATTGTGAGTGGAAGAAATGCTCTCTAAATTTAATTCTGTTAGGTAACAGTCACACCCTTTCCATCGACAGCATCGGCCGACTCTTCCTGCTTCTCCTTATTTTCTCAATTTAAAATTTCCTTTTGGTCGAATCGATATTGTGAGTGGAAGAAATGCTCTCTAAATTTAATTCTGTTAGGTAACCGTCACACCCTTTCCATCGACAGCATCGACCGACTCTTCCTGCTTCTCCTTATTTTTCTCAATTTAAAAATTTCCTTTTTGGTCGAATCGATATTGTGAGTGGAAGAAATGCTCTCTAAATTTAATTCTGTTAGGTAACAGTCACACCCTTTCCATCGACAGCATCGGCCGACTCTTCCTGCTTCTCCTTATTTTCTCAATTTAAAATTTCCTTTTGGTCGAATCGATATTGTGAGTGGAAGAAATGCTCTCTAAATTTAATTCTGTTAGGTAACAGTCACACCCTTTCCATCGACAGCATCGGCCGACTCTTCCTGCTTCTCCTTATTTTCTCAATTTAAAAATTTCCTTTTTGGTCGAATCGATATTGTGAGTGGAAGAAATGCTCTCTAAATTTAATTCTGTTAGGTAACCGTCACACCCTTTCCATCGACAGCATCGGCCGACTCTTCCTGCTTCTCCTTATTTTCTCAATTTAAAAATTTCCTTTTTGGTCGAATCGATATTGTGAGTGGAAGAAATGCTCTCTAAATTTAATTCTGTTAGGTAACAGTCACACCCTTTCCATCGACAGCATCGGCCGACTCTTCCTGCTTCTCCTTATTTTCTCAATTTAAAAATTTCCTTTTGGTCGAATCGATATTGTGAGTGGAAGAAATGCTCTCTAAATTTAATTCTGTTAGGTAACCGTCACACCCTTTCCATCGACAGCATCGGCCGACTCTTCCTGCTTCTCCTTATTTTTCTCAATTTAAAAATTTCCTTTTGGTCGAATCGATATTGTGAGTGGAAGAAATGCTCTCTAAATTTAATTCTGTTAGGTAACAGTCACACCCTTTCCATCGACAGCATCGGCCGACTCTTCCTGCTTCTCCTTATTTTCTCAATTTAAAATTTCCTTTTGGTCGAATCGATATTGTGAGTGGAAGAAATGCTCTCTAAATTTAATTCTGTTAGGTAACAGTCACACCCTTTCCATCGACAGCATCGGCCGACTCTTCCTGCTTCTCCTTATTTTCTCAATTTAAAATTTCCTTTTGGTCGAATCGATATTGTGAGTGGAAGAAATGCTCTCTAAATTTAATTCTGTTAGGTAACCGTCACACCCTTTCCATCGACAGCATCGACCGACTCTTCCTGCTTCTCCTTATTTTCTCAATTTAAAATTTCCTTTTGGTCGAATCGATATTGTGAGTGGAAGAAATGCTCTCTAAATTTAATTCTGTTAGGTAACAGTCACACCCTTTCCATCGACAGCATCGGCCGACTCTTCCTGCTTCTCCTTATTTTCTCAATTTAAAATTTCCTTTTGGTCGAATCGATATTGTGAGTGGAAGAAATGCTCTCTAAATTTAATTCTGTTAGGTAACCGTCACACCCTTTCCATCGACAGCATCGGCCGACTCTTCCTGCTTCTCCTTATTTTTCTCAATTTAAAAATTTCCTTTTTGGTCGAATCGATATTGTGAGTGGAAGAAATGCTCTCTAAATTTAATTCTGTTAGGTAACCGTCACACCCTTTCCATCGACAGCATCGGCCGACTCTTCCTGCTTCTCCTTATTTTCTCAATTTAAAAATTTCCTTTTGGTCGAATCGATATTGTGAGTGGAAGAAATGCTCTCTAAATTTAATTCTGTTAGGTAACCGTCACACCCTTTCCATCGACAGCATCGGCCGACTCTTCCTGCTTCTCCTTATTTTCTCAATTTAAAAATTTCCTTTTGGTCGAATCGATATTGTGAGTGGAAGAAATGCTCTCTAAATTTAATTCTGTTAGGTAACAGTCACACCCTTTCCATCGACAGCATCGGCCGACTCTTCCTGCTTCTCCTTATTTTCTCAATTTAAAAATTTCCTTTTGGTCGAATCGATATTGTGAGTGGAAGAAATGCTCTCTAAATTTAATTCTGTTAGGTAACCGTCACACCCTTTCCATCGACAGCATCGGCCGACTCTTCCTGCTTCTCCTTATTTTTCTCAATTTAAAAATTTCCTTTT